TATCAGCTTTGACATCCTCCAAGGAAGTGGCGTTGATCAACTTGGAGGAGCTAGCGAAAATATCAGGGATGAAGCTTGAGGAGTTGGAAGCTAAAATAGCAGTTCTCACCAAGTCAGTACCTGTAAGGAAAGATGATACTATAGAGGCAGGCTCACTAGCTCCGCAACTACTTGATGAGGGACCAGATACTCCTAAACAAGCTCATATCAAAACGGTTAACAACTTTCTTAAGAAATGAGCTCATGATGATGCGTATGAGGCGGCAGCTAAGAAGGTCAGGTACGAGAAGGAAAATTTGCCACCAAAGTCCCGCTCCTCCGTTGTTAGCATTGTGTCTCAAGTGAACTTGCTTTACAATACATCCTTGAAGGCAAACACCGTTAGACGGCATTTGAAGGACGGTCTTGGACCCCCCGGCYGGGGGCRGAAAAGTTTGCTACCCCAAAAAATCAAAGCGGCAATAGCTGATGCGGTCTCATYGTTTGTYGCTCTTGCGTGTGAGGAAAAGGAGACGATTCCCCAACGCAAAGGTTTCGTATCCATGTTGAAAGCGTGTCTTCTACCAGGCCCCTGCTTGTTGACTGATTTTGTGAGTCTGTACCGACGTTTATTGCCAACATTTGCAGAACACTTGAAAGTTGCAAACAGTGAAACAAAAATTGAACAGCGCAGACTGAAGTGGACTACGTACAATAACATTAATACTTGGTTTAACACACTAAAGGACACTCTTGTTGTCGCAAATGGGTTTGCCAGAATGAAAAGAGACGATGAAATTGCTGAAGGTGAACTGGTGTTTTTCCCTGGTCAACTAAATCGAATTATCAATTTGGATGAATCAGGTTTGACGCTTGATGGGAATGGGAGTCAAGCTGGAGGATGGCCGTCAACAGCGTATGGATCTGCCAATAAATATGTTGGATGCAGAGCTGACAGGACAAACAAAAGCAGTTCACGAATCACTTTGGTTGCAGGGAGCAATGCCGCCGGATTTCCGTTACCGCCTCACTTCCAATTAAAA